GGTGTAAATCGATGGGGTCGGACGATCGCGCCGCATCGGCGACACATCTGCGACACGTCGCCGATGAATCGGCGAGATGCATCGGCGACGTCGGCGAGGCATCGGCGGCATCAGCGTGGAGAAAATCGGGCTCCACGTCGAGCCGCATCGCCGATGCATCGGCGATGCGCCGCGATCCTCCGACCCCATCTTCTCCGACCCATGTAGGCCCCCCCCCAGAGCCTGGAGCCCTTCCCCTGGACAGGTTTTTCATCCTGAGTCGTTCTTTGACGGCTCCGAGGCTCGGCGAAGGCCCCCGGAGGCCGAAAGTGGAGAAAAACCTACCGTCGTCTCTGTTTGGCCCCCGAAGTGACCCCGCAGCCCCAACGGCGCCGACCCCATCCAGGAGGCCTCTCTTCCTGCACCGGCAGGTCCCGACGCCGCCAGTGCCCCGCCCTGCTCTCCTCGTGGGGGGTAGGGGTAGGGTTCGCACGTGGCCCCCTCCCCCCGTTCCTCGCCTCCTCCCCTCTACCTGAAGTCGGCCGTGTGACATGCCCGACTGAATAGACGAGCGCGTTCCACGACTCGCAAAGTAGCTACTCGCAAATGGCCTGGATCCCCCGCGGAGGATCTGCGATAAATTGTATCAAAACAGACAGGTGTTTTTCGGAAGTTTGCGAGTAGGCACTTGGCGAGGTAGAGGGACATGCCGCATGTCCCTCTACAGGTGAAGTACTCAAAAGTGGCCAAAAAATAATCTGACTGCGTGTCGGCAGCGCGTGTGCGGGGCCGGCGCACGGCGCCACCGCATGGCGTCCTCCTCCTCGGCCAAGGAGGAGGAGGAGGAGGAGGAGGAGGAGGAGGAGGAGGAGGAGGAGGGAGGAGGAGGAATGAGAGGAGGAGGAGGAGGAGGAGGAGGAGGCAGAGCAGGCGCGGCGCGGGCGCAGGGGCGCTCTCGAGGGCCGCCGGCAGCCGCACCGCTGCGCCGCTGGCCGCCCTCTCGGCGGGGGCCCGCCCAACAAGGGGGGGGGGCCCTGGCGGTCGGGGACTGCTCAAGGTGCCCCTGGCCCCAAGCTCTTGGCGTCTCAGTGTTTTCGAGCCAGGCATTTTCTCGCCTTCTTGTTCGGGCCTCGGGACCCTCACGGATCGATCCGGCTCGAAAAATGACGCAGAGAGAGACGGGGTATAGGGTTTTGGGGGTGATGTTGCACGAAGTTGCGATTTCTTCGCTACGCCGGATCTCCGGGTGCCTGTTCGAGTAAGGGATTGACTACAGCATTGCTTCATCTCAAGCTTGAAATTTTCGTCGACTCTACAGAAAATCCGTAACATGCACGTGAATCAGAGTGAGGGGGCCGAACGGTCATTCCGCGATGCGGATTATTGTTGTTTGTTGCTCTTGTTGATGGTGGTGGTGGTGGTGTTGTTGCTGTTGTTGTTGCTGTTGCTGCTGCTGCTGTTGTTATTGTTGCTGCTGTTGGTGTTGCTGTTGGCATTGCCTCTGCTGCTGTTGTTGTTGCTGTTGGTGTTGTTGTTGTTGTTGCTGTTGGTGGTGTTGTTGTTGGCGGTGTTGCTGTTGGTGGTGTCGCTGGTGTTGTTATTGTTGGTGGTGGTGTTGTTTATTGTTTGTTGTTTGTTGTTTGTTGTTTGGCGTCGTCCCCCCCCCCCGCGACCCGGCCCGCGACCCACCCGCGACCCACCCCGCGACCTGCCCGCGACACACCCGCGACCCACCACGCGACCCCACCCGCGACCCACCCGCGACCCACCCCGCGACCCGGCCGCGACCCACCCGCGACCCACCCGCGACCCACCCGCGACCCACCCGCGACCCACCCGCGACCCGGTCCGCGACCCACCTGCGACCCACCCGCGACCCACCCGCGACCCATCCGCGATCCACCCGCTACCCACCCACATTGCTGTAACAAAAAACGGCGCCTGCGGCGGGCTCGTCTCGCAGACTGCAAACGTCCTCGCCGCCCCCTCACTCTTATCCGCGACTGCGGGGTGCTACGGTATCCGCCGGCCCCCTTGTGGGGCCACCAGGCTGTAGGAGCGGGATTCGCAGTTTCCTGTACCAGTTGTAGCTTGTCGTTTCCAGTGTTACAGTTCTGCTTATTGCTGGTTACTGTAACTAGTTGATTGACCGCGCGAGGGGGGGGAGGCCCAAACCAGATTTTTAGCACCCCCTGGGCGCGTTGTCTGAATTGCTGGGGGGGCTCGAAATCGACACCCCTCACGCAGATCCGCGGGGTCAGGGTCCAAAAACACATGGGATTTGCCACATTTCTGAAATTCGGTGCCACCCCTCACGCAGATCCGCGGGGTCAGGGTCCAAAAACACAGGGGATTTGCCACATTTCTGAAATTCGGTGCCACCCCTCACGCAGATCCGCGGGGTCAGGGTCCAAAAACACAAGGGATTTGCCACATTTCTGAAATTCGGTGCCACCCCTCACGCAGATCCGCGGGGTCAGGGTCCAAAAACACAGGGGATTTGCCACATTTCTGAAATTCGGTGCCACCCCTCACGCAGATCCGCGGGGTCAGGGTCCAAAAACACAAGGGATTTGCCACATTTCTGAAATTCGGTGCCACCCCTCACGCAGATCCGCGGGGTCAGGGTCCAAAAACACATGGGATTTGCCACATTTCTGAAATTCGGTGCCACCCCTCACGCAGATCCGCGGGGTCAGGGTCCAAAAACACAGGGGATTTGCCACATTTCTGAAATTCGGTGCCACCCCTCACGCAGATCCGCGGGGTCAGGGTCCAAAAACACAGGGGATTTGCCACATTTCTGAAATTCGGTGCCACCCCTCACGCAGATCCGCGGGGTCAGGGTCCAAAAACACATGGGATTTGCCACATTTCTGAAATTCGGTGCCACCCCTCACGCAGATCCGCGGGGTCAGGGTCCAAAAACACAGGGGATTTGCCACATTTCTGAAATTCGGTGCCACCCTTCACGCACATCCATCGCAAGGCGTGGTAACCCAAACTGCGAGAACTCCCTCGGCCCTTTAATCGCAAGGTGTGGTAACCAAGCCCGTAAACCATACACGTCTTACCAATCGCCAGGTGTGGTAACCCCTCTTGTGATCAGTTGGTTTTGCTGATTGCGAATCGGCTTCGCATGAAGTTTCGATACTGCTTCACGACAGCGCCAAGGCCTCATGACTTAGCTCTTCCATGGCCCAATCTCCGAGAGAGGGGGCCGGCGGCAGGGGGCGAAGCCCTTACGGATAAAAAACAACAAACAAACAAAAATTCTACGTGTGTTCGGTTCTGCAGTCGATCCCCTACTCGAGAGGTGCCCCTGGCCCTTGGTGCCCCCAGCTTTTCGCTCCATTTTGGAGCCCCTCGGGCTCCCTTCCCTGGGCCTCGTGAGGGGTGCTCTGGAGGCCGTGGGGGCCTCCCTGGAGATCCTGGGGGCGCCTTGGGCCAGGGGCACCTCTAGCAACACCCGAGTCGAGGATCCTCAGAACGTGTGCTAGCGAAGACGAAGACAGTGCGAGGATGAAATCGCCGGCGGCTCTGGAAAATGTCTGGGGCGCCGCGGCCTTCTCAGAGCGTTCCGGAACGCTCTGGAACGGATCTACCCTCGTCCTTCGAGTAGGAGATCGTCCACAGATTGATTCACGCAAAAATTGATGGTCTCGTCGAGTCATACGTAGAATGTTAGTAGATCTACGAACACTATACGCATTGTTCATCATGGATCCGACGAACAAATCAATTTTGGGGGAAGACCAACTCTGTAGACGATCCACTACTCGAGCCCTCGCCCCACCCGAGTTGGCGCCAACGTGTTTGTCCGGCCGCACCTCATCAACACGACCCTGGCAGGGCAGGGAGCGCCGACACGGGCTGCGTGCTGTCGGTGGGGCTGGGCGGGGTGCGCGCGCAGTGGGCTACACCCTGCGAAATGCTTAAGAAATCATGGGTTAAGAAATTCATAGTCTCAGAACTTGAATAAAAACCCAACATGTCTACTAAAATCTTAAGATTTACATTGAAACGTTAAGAATAATCGAGACTCTGGCCGAAAATTCAAGTTTTCTTAAGCATCGCCTAAGGTGTATACCACGCAGTCCCGAGGATCGTCGGCCCTCTAGGCCTGCCGGCCTGGGCCAGGTCGGGTCGCGAGGTGTGAATTGCAGTCGGGGCCAGATCGGACGGCCGGCGATCGATCAATCGATCAGTGAATGACGCCGTGTCTGCACGACACATCCGCCGCAGAAGAGATGTCGGTGGGAGGCGCACGTCCAGGCCAGGGCGCAGAAATAAAGACAGTTCAAGAGGAAGTAACGTCCCGGCCGGCGACTGTCTTCCACCTGGATCCCCTATCAGAAGAATCAACGGGCCCAAGGACACAAATAGAGAGACACCAATCCCAGGAATACCAATAAATTGAGAAAGTAACGTCCCGGCTGGCGACTGTCCTCCACCTGGATCCTCTATATCAGAAAAATCAGCGGGCCCAAGGACACAAATAGAGAGGCGCCAATCCCAGGAATACCAACAAATTGCGTTTCCATAGTTTCCGGACGCCCGTCTGCTCCTGCAGTTCCCATAGATTCCCAGATCTTCCTGGGAATCGATGATTCTGTGTGTGTCAGTGCCTGTTCTTCCCTCCCGAGAGCAGAAAAAGCCTGGATCCTCGGACATCGCCCCTCGATCTTCGAGGAGCCGAGGCTGCGGCCTGGGCAGCGTCAGAGGCGGAGATCGGAACCCACGCGGATCGCCCCGAAGCTCCAGCCAGGTCACGGGCCTGCAGACCTGGGCAGGCTTGGGCCGCGAGGTGTCGGGTCGAGTCGGAGACCCAGATCGGATCCCCCGCGGATCGTCCCGAAGCTCGAGCCCGCCCAAAGGGCTGCAACCCTGGGCGGGCTCGGGGAGCCAGAGACGGAGATCGGAGCCCCCGAGGACCGTCCCGAATCGAGCCCGCCCATCGGCAACACGCAAGAGCGACCCTGGGCAAGAGTGACCTTTGGTGCGCGGACTGCCAAGGCACAAAATGGCCAACGCCATGCGCGCGAGCAGCCGCTACCGCATCGCGCTCAGCGATCGGGGGGACTCAGTTGAGCCTCCACTCAAGGTCACTCAGGCGAAGGGTCTGCAGACCTGGGCAGCATCGGGTCGCGGAGTGTGGGATCGAGTCGGAGACGGAGATCCGATCGGCCGCGGATCGTCTCGAAGCTCCAGGTTGGATTACCGCGCCTGGCTCCGGCTGGCCCTGGCCGATGCTGGCGAATCGAACCGACTCGGGATCGCGGCCCCAGCCGGCGAGCCGAGCCGCATCGGATCCGCTCCTGGGCGGCCCTAAGGCCTGTGCGCGTGTGCGCCCTCGCGGCCCAGGCCCAGGACCCGGACGTCCGACATGCCATGGCCTCTTCGGTTACGGGGCCCCCGGAAGTCCCAACCTCTTCCCCGGGACCGGCTTCGGAGGAGGAGGAGGAGGAGGGCGAGGAGGAGGAGGAGGGCGAGGAGGAGGAGGAGGAGGAGGAGGGCGAGGAGGAGGAGGAGGATGAGGAGGAGCAGGAGGAGCAGGAGGAGCAGGGCCAGGAGGAGCAGGCCGGAGCAGGCCCGGGGAAGGCGGGAAGCCTCCGGCGCCGAGGCGTGGACGGCGCGAGGGGGCCCCGGAGCCCCGCCGGGCCCGGAGGGCCACGGAGCCCAGCGGGCCCCGGGCAAAGGGGTGCGCGGCGGGGTGGCGCGCGGCCGCCCCGGAGGCCGAGGGGTGCAGGCCGCCGCCCGCATGGCTCCGGCGGGGGGGGGGGGCAGGTCCGGTGCGGCTCTGCCGCTCTGCACGGCCGCAGGCGGCGCTCGGGCGAAGGGCGCTCGTGGCGTGCCGCAGGGGGGGGAGAGCGGGTGCGTGCCCCACGGGAGCGACGCATCGAGAGCGGGTCCTGCGCGAGAGGGCCGATGCAGGTGGCCACGCGCGAACCCTACCCCCCCCCCCCGCGAGTTCGAAAGGGGTGGGGGTTCCCTCCGCTCGGGACCTCCCGAACGAAATGAACCCCCGCCCCCCTCCTTCTCCTCCCAGAGCGGCCGGCCGCCCGTGCGCCTCCTCCTCCTTCTCTCCTTCTCTCCTTCTCTCCTCTCTTTCCTCCTCCTCCTCCTCCTCCTCCTCCTCCTCCTCCTCATCCTCCTCCTCCTCCCTCCTCCCTCCTCCTCCTCCTCCTCCTCCTCCTCCTCCCCCTCCCCTCCTCCTCCTCCTCCTCCTCCTCCTCCTCCTCCTCCTCCTCCTCCTCCTCCTCCTCCTCCTCCTCCTCCTCCTCCTCCTCCTCCTCCTCCTCCTCCTCCTCCTCCTCCTCCTCCTCTTCCTCTCCTCCTCCTCCTCCTCCTCCTCCTCCTCCTCCTCCTCCTCCTCCTCCTCCTCCTCCTCCTCCTCCTCCTCCTCCTCCTCCTCCTTCTCTCCCCGAAATCGTGCGGGGCGGGGGTAGGGTTCAGATTTGGCCACCAGCACAGCGAGCGCACGCCGCGGCCTGCGCGGGCCCCCAACGCGGCGCGCCACTTGGAAGACGAGGGCGCGCTCGAGCGCGACCTGACGCGGGCAGCTGACGCGCGAATGTCGGCGAAGAGAACCCCGTTTTCGTGCGTCGCTCAAGCTTCGTTGTATAAGGGAGGGGGTCACAACCCTACCAGACGAGCGGCTTCGGATCCCCCCAGACCAGCCATGAAGCGGAAGCTTTCTGCCCAGACCCCACCGAAAGCCTTCAGAACAGCTCCAAGAAGATAACCAAAAAATCAGACCACCACCCTGTTGTTGTGAAATCTGGACTGTGTGTCGTGGCTGATTTATGCCCGACCACTCATTGCCGAGTGATTGGATATGGCATGTGGCCCGCTTCCCTTCGGGGGGGGGGGCACAGCCAGCGGCACTCGCTTGGCTGTACGCTCGTGAATGATGCACGGCTGGGGCGGCTGGTCCGAATCAAATCCCGAAATACCAACAAGTAAACAAAAAACACGGTGCAGAAACTGAGCGTGGAAAAGATCAATGGAAAGAAGAGAGCTGAAACCATGTCGATTGCACTGTTCCAGGATATCCAGAACCACCCGATGCACTAGTTTGATGGCATGATAGTAAATACCCGCAGTTGACAAGAATGACTGATGAGATGGAAGCTGGCCGCCCGCGCATCATGCCCATCATCATGTGCATGGGGTTCATGTCCGCCATTTTCGCCATTGGGCAGTCCTGGACATGGCGATTGGAAAAGGGAGGCCAACAGAACTGAGGCATAGCGAGAGGGTGCAGAGAAAAACGAGAACGACGAGGACAAGGACAAGGACGAGGAGGGAGAGAAGAGAGGAAAATTGCTTGACAGTGGGTCTGAACGATACGTTCCGTCTGGGGCGGCAGGTTCGAGCAAGATCCGGACTCACAAAAAGCGCTACTTCAAGATCGTACAAGCTCGCCCCCACCGTCCGGGGAAACCATTCAACCGCGCCCCATGGCACGCGGATGCGCGGTGGAAGGCCACGTGCTCTGGCAGAGCTTGTGTACGTCTTCCAAGGCGCCCCCTGCCTGTCTGCCTTTCGCGCTCGACGAGCGCGCCGCCGCGCTCGACCGCCGCGGCGGCGGCGGTGCACCTCGAGAGCGCGCGATCGAGCGAGCGGCGGGCGAGAGAAGGCGGCGGCGGCCAGAGCCAGCAGCGAAGGCGGCGGGCAGGCAGGCGGCAGCCAGCAGCAAGGGCCCCTCTGTGCCCCCATGTTCCTCCTCCTCCTCCTCCCCCTCCTCAGGAGGAGGAGGAGGAGGAGGAGGAGGAGGAGGAGGAGGAGGAGGAGGAGGAGGAGGAAGGAGGGAGGAGGAGGAGGGGAGGGAGGGAGGGAGGGGGGGAGGGGGGAGAGGGAGGAGGAGGAGGAGTGGGAGGGAGGAGGAGGAGGAGTAGGAGGAGGAGGAGGGGAGGAGGGCGGAGGATGAGGAGGAGGAGAGGGGGGAGGTGGAGGGGTGGGGAGGGGGGGAGGAGGAGGAGGATGAGGGGAGGAGGGAGGAGGATGAGTGAGGGAGGATGAGGAGGAGGAGGAGGAGGAGGAGGAGGAGGAGAAGGGAGAGGGAAGACAGGGAGAGGGGTAGATGTAGGGCGGAGAAGGGTGGGGGGGGGGGGGGGGGGGAGGGAGGAGAACACCCAGGTGCTTGCACTGGCCCCTCCCTCCTCCCGAGCGGCCCTCCCTCCAGCATTCCTGCAAGGCGTCCCAGCTGGCCCAGAAAGGCCACCGAGGCCTCCCAGGTTGACCCAACAGGGCCTCAAAAGGCGCCAAGCAGCCACGAAGAAAGGCCCAATGGGTGCCAGCAGGCCTCCAAGAGGCTCTAAGACAAACCCCCGATGCTCTAAAGGAGGGCCTCGAGAGGCCCAAGACTCTGTGCTTCCTCACTCGTCTTCGAGAGCCCAGAAGGTCCCACTGAGAGCCCCACGAAGGATCCTAGACAGCCCAAGATGGCCACAAGAGACTGGCCCACGAGGGTCTCCAGAGGAACCCCAGACGGCCCAAGAGGGTCCCTGGACAGACGAAGCGGGGTCCAAGATGGTCCCACGACGGCCCCAACGGAACCCCGAGACAGCCAAAATGGCCCCGTGAGGGTCCCGAGACGGCCGAAGAGGGCCCAAGGCGACCGAAGAGTGCCCCGATGGACCCACAAAACTTGCCCACGTGAACCCAAGACAGTCTCCCCAAGGCCAAAATAGCCCCCATTAAAGAGAGATCCCCAGGCTGCGGAGACGAGAGGTGCCAGACGCGACGGCCCTCCGGGCGGCGCTCGAGGGGCCGCCACACAAGGCGCTTCTCTGGCGCGGTGGCGGACCTGCCGCGGGCACGGTCCATCGGGGGACTCTTCGGGCTCTCTTCGGTCGTCTTGGGCCCTCTTGGGCCGTCTCGGGACCCTCTTCGGTCGTCTTGGGCCCTCTTCGGCCGTCTCGGTCTTCGGGTCCATCGGGGGGAGACCCAAGGCGACCGAAGAGGCGGGGGAGGAGAAGGGGCCTCGGTCCGACGTCGGACGTCCGACGGAGGCCAGAGCCGTCGGAGGGCACGCGGCCGGGCCAGAGCCGAGGTGGGCGGGGGCCTCTCCTGCTCCTGCCAGGGGCGGATATCGAGGAGCCGAAGGCTCGATCCGGCGGACTTCGCCGCGGGGGCGCCTGCCGCCTGGCCAGAGCAGGCGCCCGCGGCCGCACGGGCAGCCTTCGGGGGCGGCCAGGAGGGGGGCCTCCAAGAGGGGGGGGGAGGGGGGGGGGGCGCAAGTCGTGGCCGGCGGCACGCGCGCGGCCCGAGGGGAGGGGGCCCAGGACGCATCGGAATGAGAGGAGGCGCCACGAGATCTGGGAAGATGTCGTGGCCCTCGCCACGAGGTTCACCCCCCGCTCTGGTCCTCACCCCCTCCTTGGCCGCCCCCGAAGAACAGGAGCCCCTCCCGCGGAGGAGCCCGCGGCACGGTATGCGCGGTGCGGCGGGTCTGCCACCGTGCCTGCTCTGCACGGCGCGGGGTGTCGGACCCTCTCTGGTTGCCTGGCGGGGCTTCTGTGCGCCTACCCTTGCCTGGAAAAACAGTGCAGCCTTAATGGTCGATGTGTTTTTGCTCGTGAACCATCGCTTCGTTTGCTTTCGTCGCCTTCGGTTCTCCGTCGTGTTTGGCCTCCGGGGGGCGTCTTCGGGCCCTGGGACCGCGCGAAGGGAAAAAGTAAAATCCCTCAGGCACCCGCGCTCTGACGTCTGACGAATGGACACAGATGCACCGAGAAGCGAGGCGGTCCAAGCACATACACAAGAGTAGAGCTGCCATGGATAATTGTCTGGACGGCCTGCGCGTAACTGCAGTAAGGGATTAAGCCTGTATCTGACTGCAGTTCTGATTGCTGGTACCTTCTTGGTACTCGCCTGCGGCCCTGAACTACCGTCGGGGTTGCGCAGCCCAAGTTCTAAGAAAGAAAGTTCACTCAGCCAGAGCAACAAGAAAAATAGCAGCAATGGTAGCACCATCAAAAACGACCACGTTGGCATCAGCAGCAGCAGCCCCAACGACGCCATTGGCACATCCTGGTCAGAACGAGCATTTGCGACGACAGAGTACACGATAGCACAGGTATCGTTACGAACCTGATCTTCACGACGATGACTGCACAAAGCTCAAGTGTGAGCGGCCGCACAAACTAGAAGACACTTGCAATAACCAAATGTACCTTGCACGACGACAAACACATGAATAAATACAGTCGAGGCGTTGACCTAAGGAACCCTAAATAAGGAACGAGGCCCCTTTTCCCATAAGTTCAAGCTCGATTTCCCATGGAAAACCTCAGGAAAACCCGAGGCAAACTTTGAAACAATCAAGGAACACCGAGCCCCTCCCCAACGAAACGGGCAGCGCCCCGACTGTATGGGCACAATACAATGATCAAGGCAGCGGCACCTTCGTCTTGTGGGGGCCCGCACAGGTGGCGCACACCCAGCGCAGATCTCCACCGCGGCACAGCGTCTCTCGCTCTCGGATTGCACGGATACGCAGGTTGCTACCTTCTCGTCATGCTCAAGATGATTGTCCAAATTGATTTGGTGACGACTCGGCGGTGGACAAACCTCCCGTCAGTAAACCTCCCCTTAATGAAAACGGCCTGGGACCGAAACCGACGGACCTGGACCCGCAAAAATGACGGCCGCGACGCCCTCTCGCGAACCGAAAACGGCCAATTCCTTAATCGACGTGTCAGGGTAGGAGGTCTGTCCACCCCCGAACGACATACGGTGCAGGCGGCGACATGTGCGACATCTCCCTTCGATGTATCCATCATACCCTCTGGCCGCGGCCCCTGCGAACCTCATCATCATCTTCCTCATTCTCCTGTTCATACGGATGGCATCCCAGCGGCGTAAGCAGCGGTCGTGGAGAGCAAATAACGGCCTTCAGGACACTGAATGTCACCCACATGAGGCGACAGCCCCTGTGACGATGCCCCGACTGAATCATATCTTGCGGACCCCCCGCCTCGACCCAAGCTAGCGTCGTCTGCCCCACGTCAACGACAAGCATTCACAAGACCGCGAGCCGTTTGGAGGCGCCTCCCTTGTCTCGACCGCCATCGCTGCCTGGGGCGGGGAGGGGCAGGTACACGTTCCGACCAACTCTCACACGCTCTATTGCAACATCCACTAGCATATCAGCCCGATCCTGCCATTGCGCTGCCAAACGTAAGCGTCGTACCATTGCGCTGCCGGACGTAAGCGTCGTCGCCCGTCCTCGTCGTCGCCAGTAGTAGCGTTAAGCGGCACATACCACCGCCATGGCATAAGCCTCGCCATTGCCTTTGATGGCTATCGCCATCGAAACCGAAGTCGTCATCGTCATCAGCATTCACATCACCACCACCCTCCGCCGTCGCCACCACTGCCACCACCATCGTGTTGGCCACCGCACCCGTCACCCCTGTCGTCACTCTTCCTCGTGCCGTCACTGTTATGAACGTCGCGAACCGCGGGCGGCCCCGCGCGGGGCAGGGTGCTGCCTGAGCCGTCTCTGCCTGGGGAGGGTAGCGGGCGGGACACCCGGACACGCACAGCACACACCAGGTACGAGGATGCCCGCATAGACAGCAAGGTGCTCGAGCTCAACCGAGCAAGACAGCCCTACCAGCACACCTATGACGAGAAGCTCCATTTGCGTCCACGGGAAGTGGCAGATCTAGCCAGCCAGCCCAGCACAGCCGAGACCTTGCACCAGCATGGTCGACAACGGGCCAAAACTGCAGGGCCGGACATATGGGAGGCAGAGTGTTACCCGAAAGTGCCTCCAGGCACGCACCCCCGCCACTGCCCGAAGCTGAAAGGAGACTTGGGCAGAACCAGCTCGAGTCTCGGAGGCGATGGTGCCTTTCCTGCTGTGTGTCCTGCCCGTGGACAGCCTCGCCGCCCGGACGAACTGCTACGACAAGGCAAGCTGCGTTCCCATCTACCTCCTCCTCCTCCTCCACGGCCAAGCACGGGCGACAAAAAAATCGAAAACCGACGGAATCGACAGCGAAACCAAAATCGACAAGTCGCAAGCAGCCTAAAGGGCACGGCAACGCGGCAACGACAAAACGAACCGACCGAACGCAACCGACTGCGACGCAGCCGAACCGAGCGAACCACGACCACCTTTGTCCTCCTCCTCCTCCTCCTCCTCCTCCTCCTTCCACCTCCACCTCCTCCTCCCTCCTGCTCCTACCTTCCTCCTCCTCCGCCTCCTCCTCCCCCCTCCTCCTCCTCCTCCTCCTCCTCCTCCTCCTCCTCCTCCTCCTACTCCTCCTCCTCCTCCTCCTCCTCCTGCTCCAAGGCACCATGGCCCCATTTTCATACCGCCCCACTCCCGTGGCCGCCCCTCCTCCGAAGACATCACTCATGCCCGTCGGTCGAGCGATCCTCCTACCCCTATCCTCCCTTAGAGGCCTCCCAGATGGGGTCGGAGAAGATAGGGTCGGGGGGTGCCAAAGGTGCCCCTGGCCTAAAGTGCCCCCAGCTTTTCGCTCAATTCTGGAGCCCCTGGGACTCTCTGGGTCTCGTGACGGGTGCTCTGGAGGCCGTGGGGGCATCCTTGGAAATCCTGGGGGCACCTTGGGCCAGGTGCGCTTCCAGCAACACCCAGGATAGGGTCGGAAGTTCGCGCCGCATCGTTGGTGCATCACCGACGCATCACAGATGTATCAGCGACGTCGCCGAGGAGAACATCGGGCTCTACATCGAACCGCATCGCCGATGAATCGGCGATGCCGCGCGATCCTCCGACCCCAACTACTCGAACCCCATCTTGGGGAAACCAGACTGTACCGATACCGTTACTCTCCAGACCTCCCCCAGGGTGCATTCTGATCAGAATTTCGAGGCAAATCCACCTGTGGCGACGAGAGCCTCCCAGGAGGCCCAAACAGGAGAAAACGAGGCAAAGGTAGCAGTGTCGGCACCTTTCCCTCATCTGACATATGGGAGGCCTGCGGTCACGAGCTCTTGCTTTCCGCAACGCTGAGGCGGTGGGAATGGGGATGGGGATAGGGGTCGGTTAAACGATACTGACCGTAGATCTTGGCGGCGAGCCCAGGGGGAAGTGAGAAGGGGCAGGCCTTCTCAGAAGGCTCGGAAGTCCCCCAGCCTTCTGAGAAGTCTTCCAAGCCTTCCCGAAGGCACAGAACACTGCACATAAGGCTGGAGCGCTTTTGAGAAACCCCGCCGCCTTCTGAGGGCACCTTCTCCTTCTCATTTCCCCTCCTGGGCGCGCAGTCGAATGCTCGTCAAAATCGGTCCCCGGACCCCTCCCCAGGTCCATCCGACGTGGTTTCTCACCCTGGATCGAGTTTCAGCGGCCCCCAGAGGCCGAAAGCAATGAAACTACCGCATCAAGCCTCGAACATCGAAGTCCGAACCTCGAAGCTCCCCCCCTCGCTCGCCGCCGAGTGGATCCTTCTGCAGCTCCTCCTCCTCCACACCCTCCACCACCTCCTCCTCTACTCCCTCCTCCTCCTCCTCCTCCCACTCCTCCTCCTCCTCCTCCTCCTCCTCCTCCTCCTCCTCCTCCTCCCTCCTCCCCTCCCCCTCCTCCTCCTCCTCCTCCTCCTCCTCTGCCCCTCCTTCTCCTCCCCCTCCTCCTCCTCCTCCTCCTCCTCCTCCTCCTCCTCCTCCTCCTGCTCCACTCCGAATCCGGGGGCATCCGGCCCGAAAACGCCCGCGCGCCTCCGCTCGGCGACCGCCTCCTCCGCCGCCTCTGGGGCTGCCGCCTGGCGCGCGCGCGCCGCGCGGGAAGGACCCGCGAGGGCAGGGCGACGGAGGCGCTCGGACTTCCATCTCACTGGCAGCCGGCTTGGCTACTCCTCCTCCTCCTCCTCCTCATCCTCCTCCTCCTCCTCCTCTCCTCTCCTCCTCCTCCTACCTCCTCCTCCCTCCTCTCCTCCCTCTCCCCCTCCTCCACCCCCTCCTCCTCCTCCTCCTCCTCCTCCCTCCTCCTCCTCCTCCTCCTCCTCCCTCCTCCTCCTCCTCCTCCTCCTCCTCCTTCTCCTCCTCCTCCTCTTACTCCTACTAAGACGAATCCAGGACGAGGATAAAATCGGGCGAGGATAGATCGAATATCTCTGAGATTCCAGCGGTTCTGGAGGATGCATCAGGCGCCGCGGCCTTCTCAGAGCAGAGCAGCGGCTCCGAAGGGGCTTCGCAACGAGGGCGGGCCGCCCCCGCGGGGGCCAGGAGGAGGGGGGGGAGGCAGCACAAGGGAGGATGCAGGGTGGAGGCCATCCGGGGCGCCCCGGAACTCGGGCGAGGAGGACTCAGTGGAGGAGGGAGACGAGGAGGGGAGGATGAGGAGGAGGAGGGGGGAGGAGCGGAGCCCCTGCCGACCCGGCGTTCCAGACTTGAAGCTAATCTTCACCGCGGAACGCCACGCGTTCCAAACCCAACCAGGACACCTCGCCTGCTCCGTTTCAGGCGAGGTCCGGGACCTCCGGCGAAATCCGACGAATCCGGCAATTCCGGCGACGAATTCCAAACTGGCGCCCTCAGGTGGGACATCCCCAGAAAAACCTGCCCCCAGAGCCTCCACAAGGAAGCTCTCAGAGGTCCTCCTGTTCCGTTTCAGGCGAAATCTGGGAGATCCGGCAAATCCAGCGAATCTTGCGACGAATTCCACACCGGCGCCCTCGCGTGGGACATCCTCTGAAAAACCAGCCCAGGCAACCTCCCCAACGAGGCTCTCAAAAGCCTTCCTGTTCCGCTTCAGGCGAGATCCGCCGACGAATTCCAAACCGGCGCTCTCGCATGGGACATCCTCAGAAAATCCAGCAAAGAATTCCAAACCAGCGCCCTCGCGTGGGACATCCTCAGAAAAACCAGCCCCCGGAGCCTCCCCGAGGAGGCCCTCAGAGGTCCCCTTGTTCCGTTTTCGGCGAGATCGGGGGAACCCAGCGATCCGTTTCTGGCAAGACTTGGGAAATCCGGCGAGATCAGGGAAATGTGGCGAGCAATTCCAGACCTGCGCCCTCGTGTGGGACATCCTCAGGAAACCGTACCCGGAGCCTCCCCAAGGAGGCGCTGAGAGGCCCCCCTGTTCCGTTTCCGGAGAGATCGGCGAAATCCTTGGAGGGGAGGAGAAGGACGAGGAGGAGGAAAGGGAGGAGAGGGAGGAGGAGGAGGAGGAGGAGGAGGAGGAGGAGGAGGAGGAGAACGACGAGATGGAGGAGGACGAGGAAAGTTGGCGGAGGCAGAGGAGGAAGAGGAGGAAGAGGAAGAGGAGGATGAGGATGAGGATGAGGATGAGGATGAGGATGAGGATGAGGATGAGGATGAGGATGAGGATGAGGATGAGGATGAGGATGAGGATGAGGATGAGGATGAGGATGAGGATGAGGATGATGATGATGAGAGGAGGAGGAGGAGGAGGAGGAAGAGGAGGGGGAAGAGGAGGAGGCGGAGATTGCCAGCATGGCAGCGGGGGGCGCCACGCCCGCCCGATCCTCACCATCCTAATTCTCATTATCGCCATCATCGCTATCCTGGCCCTCTTTCTCCACATCCTCACCCTCCTGCTCCACGCTCGCCTGATCCTCACCCGCTTGGCCCTCACTCTCCTGATCCTCCCCCTCGCGAACCTCGCCCTCCTGATCCTCGCGCTCATGCTCATCTCGACCTCATGTTCTTCTCGCCGAGAAGCGCACGCCCGTTCTTCTATATATACAGAAGATCCCGATCAACCGCAGAGCGGCTAGCTAGTAAAATTCACAACAAGAGTTTCACTGATTCCCATGAACAACGTACAAGTAACTGTGGTTCGGACACATTCACAAGTATGCGTGCGTAACAATTACATTGGTACGCGATGTTGAAGTGCCAGGAATGGCGTTATGTCACGATTCAGGCTCGTCAAGACGCAACAATGAGATTGATCCGTGGCGTTGGCATCCCCAGAATCTTCAAACGGTTGTCTTCCGACGAGGCAGTTCCCTCTGTGGAGATGAACCGTTGTAGGAGCCTATGAAGAGAGAGCTTGGAGGGAGGGTTGATTCCAACATCGTGGATGACTTTTAGATTTACGCTGGTCCTTATCCTGTTCCTCCTCTCCTCCTCCTCCTCCTCTTCCCCCACGGGCGTGAAAAATACCCGACCACTCCAGCGTCACCATGGCCTACCGAACGCCCTGGACGTCTCTACTCCGCTGGGGGGGACGCCTGTCCCAGGGCGGCTGGAAAGATTAGACACCCCGACGTGCCACCGTAGGAGTACAGCGGCGGCGAGCGAGGAAGGAAATGAGAAGGAGAAGGCCTTCTCAGAAGGCGGCGGGACTCCTCAGAAGCCCTCGCGCCTTTTGAGAAGTTTGCGTCGTGGGGGAAGGTTTCGAAAACTTCCCAGAAGGCTAGGGACGTCCGAGCCTTCTGAGAAGGCCCGCCCCGTCTCACTTCCCCCGTCGCTCGCCGCCGAGTATAGACTTTCCAGCCGCACTGGGACAGGCGTCCCCGATGGCGGAGGAGCCTGCGTGATGATGGTCCTCGTCCGCCAAATACCCCGGGGTGGCGGCCAGGGGGCGCGTTGTCGTCGCACGTCAACCGCCATCGGTGCCAGAGGTATGCAAATTGAGGGCACGCCCCAAGACCAGGACGGCGAAGTCCTGACAGGTGGGGAGGAGGGACCCTTCACCGGGTACAAGTAGATCGTACGCCCACGCCCTTCGGTGGAAGGACCTGCCCCGCAGGCGAAGTGGCAGACCAGTGCACGAGACATCCTGGCAAGTTCACAAGCCGTCCAACGCTTTTCTTGAGACGCACATGTTCCAGACAGGCTGCCAGGAGGTGTCTTTCTTTCCATTGAAAAAAACTGCCAAGACTTGATCCAGGAGGTACGGTGTGGTGGCACGTGGTCCCGTGTGGTGCCACGGCGCGAAATCGGCTTCCCTTTTGCCCTACCGCGCGGTGAAATGCGATGCAGACTTTAAGCACTCAGGCTGGCGGCATTCAAGGGAGGCGTGGTACTACTTGGGTCCGCCCTGTTTGCCTGTTCGAAAACGTCGGTAGATGGGCTGGTACGGTACTAGAACTTGCCGTAGGCAGTTAGACAAAGTGGTGCTGGAAAAAAATACTGACCTCAAGCCCACGACGTGGTAATGTTCCTACAACGTGGTACATGGAGCTCTCGACAACCTCTGCGACCAGTTTTGTTTAACGCGGGCTGTTTCGGCCCCCTGAGACCAGAAGGCTTAGAAACATCGGGCGTCGTGGTTTGCGAAGGGCTCCTGAGGTCTGGGAAACTGCCCCAGCCTGGCATCCCCCTTCAATATCGGCCTCCACATCTGTCCTGCGGCGGTGACCTGGCTGTGGCGCCGAGGGCCCTCTAGGAGGACGACAGAAGGCGAGGAGAGTCGAAAAACGTATTCTCCTCCTCCTCCTCCTCCTCCTGTTCCTCCTCTTCCTCCTCGTCCTCCTCCTCCTTCCCCCTCCCCGTCCTCCTCCTCCTCCTCCTCCTCATCCTCCTCCTCCTCCTCCTCCTCCTCCTCCTCCTCCTCCTCCTCTTCCTGATC